GCACCCTCAGCTGTCCTAGAACTCACTGTGTAGACCAGGCTGGTCTCAAACTCACAGAGATTCACCTGCCTCTGCCTCCTGAGTGATGGGATTAAAGGTGTGCACTACCACACCCAGCAGGAGGAATTATTATACTTACAATTTTTGATTACGTTTATTTTGTGAGCATGTTTATGTATGTATATATGTATGCGTATGTATGTGTACATGCACTGTGCCGTGGCACATGTGAAGATCAGAGAATGACTTGAGAGAATTGGTTCTCTCCTTCCACCATGTGGATCCCAGGGACTAAACTCTGTCAAAAAAAAAAAAAAGAAAGAAAAGAAAGAAAAGGGTGCTGGAGAGATGGCTCGGCGGTTAAGAGCACTGACTGCTCTTGCAGAGGACCCGGGTTCAATTCCCAGCACCTACATGGCAGCTAGGAACCGTCCTTAATTCCAGTTCCAGGGAAATCAGAAGCCCTCTTCTGACCTCCGCGGCATTGCATGACAGGGGTGCACTCACATACATGCAGACAATACACTCATACACATAAAATAAAAATAGTAAATAAAATATTTTTTTAAAAGGCTTGGCATTTGTTGGGCGTGGTGGCACACGCCTTTAATCCTGGCATTTGGGAGGCAGAGGCAGGCGGATCTCTGTGAGTTCAAGGCCAGCCTGATCTACATAGTGAGTTCCAGGACAGCTAGGACTACAGGGAGACCCTGTCTCAAAAAGACCAAAAAAAAATGTTAAATTCAATGAATTAAAAAATATATTTCATGGGGGGAGAGGGCCTGGGGAGATGGCTCAGTAGGTAAGAGCACTTGCTCTGCAAGCATGAGGACATGAGAATCCCCAGCAGCCGTATAAGAAGTATAAGAAGCCATCTGTGCGTCTGTAACCTCAGCACAGATGGGCAGTGACAGGAGATTCCTAGAGCTCATGGCCCACCAGCCTAGCTGACTAAAACTCCCCAAGTTGCCAGATACTCTGCTTCAAGGCAATAAGGAGGAGAACAACAGACTGCGGGAAAACCCATACACACGTGTGTGCAGTATAACATGTGTGTATATGTACACGTGCACACACATACACAAATACTCCACGGGGAGGCTGGCATGTAGTTCATGGCTTAGCTAACATGCAGAAGGACCTAGGTTTGATCTTCAGCGTTACAAAAAATTTAACTGATGGGTTAAATCAAATATCTTATTGAGAGACTGGGAATGTAGCTTAGTAGTAGAACATGTTCAAGGTCCTGGATTCAATTCCCAACACCAAAAATGAAGTCAAATAGAGGGTCCACCTGGAGTCTTAGTCAGCTTTCTGGTACGATGACAGAATATCTAAGAAAATCAACTTACAGGAGGAAAGATTGGTTTGAGCTGTGGTTTTAAGAGGTTCCAGTCCTGGTCACTGGCTCTGTCACATCTGGGATTGTGGTGAAGCAGAACATCATGGCAGGGAGCATGGGAGCCAGATATGTACTCTGCATGTGCTGGTGAGGGGAGCAGGGAGGAGCCAGGGCAAAGATGAAGATGCCTTTCAAAGGAACAGGTTCAGTGACCTACTTCCTCCAACTAAAGTTTCTATTACCCCCAATAGTCCATGAAGCTATGAATCATCCATGGATTAATCCCTCCCAGAGGCTCCACCTCTGAACACTGCTGCATTGAGGACCAGTGGGGACCAAGTCATTAACACATGAGTCTATGCAAACCATAACATACGCAAACCATAGCACCTACTATGTGTAAGGCTCTGGTTGTTCCCTAGTATCATGAGAAAACAATTTTTTTTTTTGGTCTTATTGAGACAGGGTCTCCCTATAGCCCCAGCTGTCCTGGAACTCACTGTGTAGACCAGGCTGACCTTGAACTCACAGAGATCCTCCTGCCTCTGCCTCCCGGGTGCTAGGATTAAAGGCATGCACCACAATGCCTGTTTTTTATGAGAAAACAATTTTAAAACTAAAATAATTTCATGGGAAACATTAACCCAGTAACTACAATTGTTACTCAAAGGGTAAAAGTTCAATAGACATTCATGCATGCATGCATTCATCCAATAACCTATAGCAATCGAAGTTCTCCGTAGCAATGCTAGTTAACAAGTGCTTTGCACCAATATGGAGCCAGGTTCTGTGCTCAGCACTTCCAAGTACATAACCTCAGACACCACTCCTGTGTTGTTGGATCTAACCTTAGGCACAGCAGGGCAAACTGAGGATGGGAAAGGGTGTGTTTGTCTCTGTGGTCCATGAATCTTGGACAAGACAAAGACATTGCCCCTACCCAGTGAGGGAGAAAGATGTGTGAAATAGTCTTGTAGACAGGTTTTGCAAGGAAAAAGGAGGGTTAGAGCTTAAGTCCTGAGGACTAGGGACAAAGAAAACAAAGAGTCCGAGACATTGAAAATTACTTCTCCCACGACACCCTTTGGCCAAGGACGAGCCCTGGGAGCAGCAGTGGACCTCAGTGGCGCCTACATGGGCGCCAACCTCTGCCACCTCAGAAGTGACAATGAACAAAGGCTATGGTCTCTTTGGGAAGAACTTAGATCTGACAACAGCCTGGTGTGTTTCATCAGTGTAGACATCCCTTCTGGGCTTTGAAGCCTGAAGTGCCCTCCTTTGGCTGTCTACACAGATCAAATAATCTGGACGGCTGCCATATCTCGACTTCACTTTGTGCTAATCCATAGTCACAGCCGGCCCCATAACAATCCGACCAAACCATCTGAGCAGAAGCAAAAATAATTCTAAGCAGAGACAGACAGCTCCAAGATGGAAACGTTAACCCCTCACTGCCTCTTCAGGAGGGTGGGGATCTTGTTAGTGTTAGGATGCTTATGGAGGAGGGTGGTTCTGCCCCTCTCCAAACCAAAGTAGCAAGCAAAGCTCCTTCCTCTCCTCACAACTGAAAACCCTTTCAATTATAGGATCATACACAATAGCCATAAAGCTAACAACAGATTGGGAACAAGATCGTCCCACCACAGAAGCATCTTTTTATTCAAAGAATCATTGGGGGGGACTTAATCCCACTCCCCTCTGTCCCCCAAGCAGCAGTGATAATGGATCTCAAGAAATCCTTGTCACACAGATCGGCAAGATCAGGCATCTAACAACAAACCCAGAAGCCAAGCAGCATCGTTAGAAAAGATGAAAAATCTACATCTACTTTCATGCCTAGCTGTGGTTTCCATGGAAATAGATATCTGCTCTAGGGAGAGAGAAAGGTTCTGGGTTGGGGGAGGAGGGCGTGGAGAGGTGGTATAAGTGCTTTAAAATAATCAGTGTTTTGAAAGTCTAATTTTTTCCCTGTCACAACATTAAAAGTCAGAAATATGAAATTTTTGTATGACAATTTCTTGCATTTAAAAAAAAAAATGCATCAGATGGGTGGGATCTTCCACACACATCTCCAGGTCCAGTACAAAGACTTTAAGATAAAGTTCAGAAGGGACTGGACCTCTTGGCCCCAGAGGCAGGAATCTTTGCTCATTCATGTTGCTGGCTATTTGTCACTTTCCAGAAAGGACTTCATTCCTGTCCAGTTTTTTAAATGATTTCTGAGATCCATTCAGAAAGCTGACGAATCACCTGACCATTCTGAAGCTAAGTTTCTGAGAGAGAAAAGCCTTTCAAGGTTCAGAATCTAAACCGCCCTGGGGCTCACATGCTAAGCAAAACCCACTTAGAATGGCTGTGGTGAGGAGAGAGCCAGCGAGGGGGTAGTGACTGACCCTACACAAGGGTGATTGTTGGAGAAAATGCAGCGACAAGCATATTTCATATTTAGTCAATAGTGCTATGCCAGTTGTTTTCACGTGGTGTCTGCTGCCTATAGTTTCATTGTCTTGAGAACCTATTAATTGTATTTTATCTCTGGCACATCCCTGGTGGCTCATCAGATATAGGAGTCTTTTAAAATTATGACTGTTCGTTTTCAGAGTTCATGTTTCCGTTTTGGGAGACCAAGCCCATTAATAAATGGTGTTTCTTCTGCAGAGGGTTTCAAAGGCTTGGGGAAAATGACATTCAAGAACACAGCCTTGGTCAGAGGAGAGGAGGGGTCTGGGAATGAAATTTATTATTTATTTTCTTCCTTTTTGTGGGGAAAGGGAGACAGAGTCAGGCAATTTTCTTTGTGCCTCTACGATAGTATATAGGTCAAAGGAGACAGTGACTTTGTGGCTTCTTTTGTTTACCTTCTGAAAAGGAGCCCAGCACCGCTTTGGAGAGCACGTGCTTCCAGAACAAAAGCAGTACTTAACTGCAGTCTGTGTATCTAGAACTGCCTTTGCTCTTCCTTTTCCCGTAACAGCCGAGGCTGGGCAGAGCAGATGGAGCCTGCCTTTAAGTCAAGCGGCTTTGTTAGACCAGTGATCAGATTCCAGAACCTCACGTTATCCTGTCTAGGTGCCCAGGTCACCCGCTCGGGAGGCTGAAGATGGAGAGAACGCTCACAGCAGCCGAGGGAAGGACCACGCCCAAGTCTGTCAAGAGGGACTGTGGTGTGACAATACAGGTGTTACCCTGGTGATGTCCGCGGTAGGATGCTGCTGGGACCATGCAGGGGCGCGGACACGCATTGTCCTGTCACAAGGGCGTTTGGGGCAGCCAGACGCGGTGTGGCATTCACTGGGACACCGCTCTGCCCGAAAGCTGCCTTTGGGGGTGATGTGAGACTGTGGGAGAGGAAGAGATCAGCCGGTCAAGGTCTAAAAGACGTACGTTAGCAGCGACCCCTCCCCTCCGCCCCGCCTCACCCTGCCCTTTGCCTGGAGATGGGGAGCCACAGCCGGTTCTGTCCGGTTGCCACCTGATCTTCCACGCGGAGCCCCGGGTATCACACCTGAGAGACCCCGCCTTGGTAGCCCCTCACCCCCTTGCATTGTCCTCCTGCCTCACCATCAGGGACTACACTTCCCGGTGTGCTCTGGTCCTCAAGGGGCGTGGCTCCGCGGGTTTGGGGGCGGGGCCGGCACGTGCCGTCACATTTAGCCAATGCGGAGCCCCGCGGCCGGGTCACGTGCCGCTGTTTGGCGCTTTTGTGCGCGCCCAGGTCTGTTGGTGCTCAGAGTGTGGTCAGGAGGCTCGGACCGTGCAGGTGGGTGCGAGGCTGACTGAGGAGGAGGTGGAGGAGACGGCGAGCAGGGGACGGGACTGGGATGTGGCCGGCGGGCGGGAGGGGCTGAGGTGGCGTCTCCGGATGAGGGCGCGGGAGGGGCGGTGACCCCGAGCCCGGTAGGAAGGGGGTCGCCTGGCTTTGTGTGTGGCTCGGGCGGAGCCTCGGCTTTTGTCCTTGCTTCCCCCGGGGACGCGGCTGTCGTGGGGAAGGGGCGCGGCCAGCTGCGGGCTTCAGCCGGAGGTGCGACGGAGGAGACAATGGGGGGCGTGGGCCGGCCTCGGCCTCCCTGCACCCTCGCCCTGCAGGCGCGGCTCTTCCGGGAGAGGGTCCCCATTGTCTGAAGGGGCGGCGACCCTGGAACCAAGCTGGGGGCCTCGGGGACCACGCCCCTAGCTCGCGCTGGTTCTCGTGCTGGAGGGGCTGCTCCTGCTGGGGCTCCCTCTTTCCGGGGATCGCTGACAGCTCCGGGGGCCCAGCGAGGATTGAGGTGCCCCGGCCGGGTCAGTTGGGTCCACCCCGGTGCAGCTGCGAGGATGGCGGCGGCCGCGAGGTGTTTTTGGCGGGAGCTTGATCGGGGGGAGGCGGCCGCGCGCGGAGAGCCCGGGAGGGGCGGGGTTACCCCAAAGGACCGTTAGCCCCGCCCAGCTCGTCCTGCCCACGCGCGCGGGCTCCCGAGTGTCGAGAGTTCGCGGAGATTCGAAAAGGCGCGGGGAGGAAAGAGGCGGGGCCAGGGGCTGGAGCGCAGGGCGGGCTCTGATTGGGCCTCCCGGCTCGACCGGCCCGGGCCGGGGCCACGCCTTGGATTGGGTTTGGTGCTGCTTTGGATGCTCTGTTCCAGTCGGATTGTCAGTTTCTGGCATTTGCAACCGTTAGCCCTACGCTTTCGGTACGATCCTCGGAGCTATAAGAATCGTGACCTTTAGATAAAAAGCGATAAGCGATAAGGTCTTTTCGATAAATTAAATCTAAATCGGATGTGGTGGTGTATGTGTGGTATCCCGGCATCCGGGGGGATTTCTTTTTGATCCGTGTTAACCATCCAACCAGTGTCTCGTGCATGCCAGGCAACGCTCCACCACTGAGCTGAGCCCCACCCCTCCACACTGAGGAGACTGAGGCAGGAGGATTGGAAGTTCAAGGCCAACATGGGCTAGATAGCTAGACCCTGCCTCAAAGGAAAAAAGAAACCTAGAGCTTCCTGAAACTTAATTTTTCCCACTGTGTTGGGCAGGGAGCTTCAACTTTAGGAACAATAGGACTTGGATATTATTGGCTGTTAGCTAGGGTGTTTTGTTATTTGCGGTGGCAGACACAGACAAAGCAGGGGTGGGAATTTCATTTGCACAATGAGTTGTCGGGGCAGAATTAAGATGGCTCCGATCTCATTGTTGAGTTGAATCTGGAATATCTTGTTATGGATGATAAGAAAATATAGATTATGGGAAGGAATCCTTCAGCCTTGTGATTTAACCTCTGATTTTTAAAAAATTCAAGTGTTTTTTGAAAGAGCATTTTCTGCCTCCAGCATGAATCAATTTAAATTTTCCAGTGTTTCAGTATTTCTAGATGGTCTTTAATTCATATTTAATTCCACCTAGTGCTTTTGTGACATAGCTATATGGACGTGATTTGAGGTCCCTTTGTGCCTATGACATGTAGAAATTGATGGCATGCTTTTGAAAATCATTTTCAGGGCTTTCCTTCCAGTGGATTGTGTGGCGTACACTGCCAATCTCTCACCTTCTAGTCACCATGGCTTCTTCTGGTAGGTAATCTTTTTAGAAAAGCTGAAATCGGGGTGGGCACATGGTTTGAGAACAGAAGTGGTGTAGTCATAAGCTTTTAATTTGGTATTTGTGTTTTGCTCTTTTCAGAAACTTATTTTAGGGATCAGAGGTTAATTTAAAACAATAATCACTTGAATATACTGAAAGCTTCTGATTGTTGCATGATTAGACAATTTGGCTTGGTCCAAAGCAAAATTGTGGGGTTTTGTACAGCCCTTTGTTTTGTTCAAATATTGAAATTCCTCAAAATGGTATTTATTAATCCAAAAATGTTGAGCTTTGTTTTGTGGGAGATGGTATTTAAAAAATAATTTTCTATGTATACCTTCATCAGCCTTAATTCTTTCTGCTCATTAAGTTGATTTGGTTTTTTAGCGTTATAGAACCATATATTTGAACAGGCAAGCCCAGCTTTTCTTAATCATAACTATCACCAACTGCAGATATCCAAGTGAAAGAGCTGGAGAAGCGTGCTTCAGGCCAGGCCTTTGAGCTGATTCTCAGCCCTCGGTCAAAAGAGTCTGTCCCCGATTTCCCTCTTTCCCCCCCAAAGAAGAAGGACCTTTCTTTGGAGGAAATTCAGAAGAAATTAGAAGCTGCAGAAGAAAGACGCAAGGTAAACTTGACAGTTTGCAGAAGACAGGATATTTATTAATGAGGCAAATTTGTTTTATTTCCATATAAGGAAGAAAGCAGAATTGTAGCTATACTGTGATTGTAACTACAGCATTTACTTGTGCGATGGTTCGAAGAAGATAGCAGCCGTCATTTAATGAGCTATCATGTAGAGTTCTCTCCTTTAATATAGTGAGTCTACACGGTAGGTGTTGTCCGAGATAGCAGACTAGAAAATCGAATAGGGGGTGTTAAGGCATTTTCCTAAAGTCCTACCACTAGTGAGTGTTGGAAGACAGAACTTGAGCTCAGATCTGTGTTATACCACACCTCATGGTTTTCCTCTTTGAAAAGTAGGATGTTTGTTGACAGATGATTCTTTGTTTCCTTAGTTTTGTTTTTTGAGAGCTGTATAATAAAAACATTTCAGATTTCTGGGGCTATGGTAGCTTTTCCCATTTCTGAACACTCCTATTATAAAGTAGCTGTCTTTTAAAAGAACCAGTAATCAGCTGGAGAGATGGCTCAGTGGTCAAGAGCTTTTGCTGCTCTCGAAGATGACCCTGGTTCCATTCCTAGAAATCCACATGGCAGCTCAGAACCACCTTTTAACTCCAGCTCCAGGGCATCTGATGCCCTCTTTTGGCCTCTGTGGGCACCCATATGTAGGTATGCATACATACCTACAGACACGTGCACATAAGAGAAAAAAGAACTAAGGAGAAACATTAACAGATATTAATATGCTTGTAGAAAAGTTGGGAAACAATTATAATTGTAAATGAAAGATAATCACTATCTTCTAAATATCCACTGTTAATGTATTTCTTCTTATTCTTTTTTTTTTTTTTTTTTTGGTCTTTTTGAGACAGGGTCTCCCTGTAGCCCCAGCTGTCCTGGAACTCACTATGTAGACCAGGCTGGCCTTGAACTCACAGAGATCCACCTGCCTCTGCCTCCCAAGTGCTGGGATTAAAGGCATGCGCCACCACGCCCCGGCTATTCAATATTATTCTTGAGAATGTTATACAAACTCTCATTTGGTCTTTTCTCAGCAGCTGTGACTAGGGTGGGTGATTTAATTTTTAAAGTTAGGGAAATGGGGCTGGAGAGATGGCTCAGCAGGTAAGAACACTGGTTGTTCTTACAGAAGACCCCGGTTTGAATCCCAGCACCCACATGGCAGCTAACAGCTGTCTGTAACTCTAGTTCCAGGGGATCCGACAGCCTCTTCTGTCCTCCAAGAGCATTGCATGACATGAGTGCTCTTACCTACATGCAGGCAATACATACATACACATAAAAAAATAAAAATAATAATTTGGGGGGAGGTTGAGACAGTCTCCCTGAGGCCCCAGCTGTCCTGGAAGTCACTATGTAGACCAGGCTGGCCTTGAACTTGCAGAGATTGGCCTGCCTCTGCCTCCCAAGTGCTGGGACTAAAGGTGTGCACCACCATGCCTGGCATAAATAAAATATTTTAAAAAATAAAATAAAGTTAGGGAAACTATGACACAAAATGTAAAGTAGTAACTGGACCCAGACAAGTAGCACTATGTGACTTGACGTCTAACACCTACACATGCGTTCAGCTGCAGCAGCATCTGCCTGGTACCTTTCCTCGCATGTGCAGTGTGTGCAGCTCCAGGGCCCTAACTGTCAACACTGCTGGTTTCTCCAGGAAGAGTGGCAGTGTTAGCCGGGCCGGGTAGCACACACCTGTAATCCCAGCACTTGGAAGGTGGAAGTAGGAGGATCAGGAGTTGAAAGTTTTCCTTAGCTACATATCTACCTGGAGGCCAACCTGGGCTGCAGATGTAGCTCAGTTGGCAGAGTGCTTAGCATAAAGCTTGATGGTACATGCCTATAATCCCAGCACTTGGGAGATGATAGCTGGAGGATCAAAAGTTCAAGGTCATCTGCACCTCCATCGTGAGTCTGAGGCCAGTCTGTACTATGAGACCCTGTCTCAAAATAATACAAATGGAATGCAGCATTTTCACTGGCGTGTCATCTGCCTGCTCTTCTGTGTCTTTGAGTTCATGGTGTGTGTAGTAGGAGGAAGATATATAACTAGCTAGTCTGGAGAGAGGAAGGAATCACTCCTGGCCCTTCGCTCATTCCCTATACTTACACAGTAATTGGCTGGGTATGGTAACACCTGTCTTGACTAAGCTATTTCAGGGGAGAGTTAACAGTACTAGTGGCAGATGCCCTATAGCTACACTCTGCAAGCTGATGCTTCCAAATGCATCTGAATCCCTTCCTTAGTTACTGCCAAAATGTTTACAGTAATTTTCTTTGAGTCACCTTTGAAGTTAAATAACAAAAATTCTTTACTATAAAGTTTTTGAGTATATTACTCAGGTCATTTGAATTCTTCTAAGCAAAAAATTTTCCAAGGAATTCCTTAACAAATAATTGGAAAAGAAATCCTCAGACAAGCCAGGTGTGGTCATGCCTATAAACCCAACACTCAGCGATGGATGCAGATCAGCGGTTCCAGGTTATAGGTTAGTCCCTGCTAAATAGTGAGCCCAGGCTAGCCTAGGCTACATGAGACCTAGTTTTAAAAAAAAAAAAATAGGTGTCTCTGAGCAAATTCGCAGTTTTCTTTCCAGAGTAAATATAAATGTTGGAAAACAAAGGTTATTTTCACTGTGTTGTGACAGCTAATTCAGGTCTGAACTTCAGCCCAGTTGCAAGGGACCCTGTTTTCTGCCCCATAAGTTTCTCTGGTAAATACTGCCAGTAGCACTTCAGAGTCTGGTCTGGGAAACTTTTTTCCAGTCTCATGAAGCTGAAGTCCTCAAGCAGCTGGCGGAAAAGCGAGAACACGAGAAAGAAGTGCTGCAGAAAGCGATTGAGGAGAACAACAACTTCAGTAAAATGGCAGAGGAGAAGCTGACCCACAAGATGGAAGCCAACAAGGAGAACCGGGAGGCACAGATGGCGGCCAAGCTGGAGCGTTTGCGAGAGAAGGTGGGTTTCCTTGCAGAGAAGAGCCCGAGGTTGCGGCCAGGTGAAGCGACTTGCACTGTCTCGATGAGGTGTCTGGTGCTTTTGTCACCGGTTTCAAGCTTTAACACATTCAGTAAGGGGATCTGGTTTTAAGATCGAATGTTCCTAATTTTCAGCATGATTGTTCATTCCTTGGCAGAGCACTGGGAAGCCTAGTTGTTAGGTATTAGGTTCTACAAGTGACCCAAGAGGTTTGAAGATAATGTCTTCAGATTCTTGTTTTGGGATTCCCATAGACTGTTGTACATACCGAGATAATGTTGGGCAGGGATGGGGTTTGACAAGCTATTTTTCTGACCGACGATACCTAACATATGATTTCTTTTTAGGACAAGCACGTGGAGGAAGTACGGAAGAACAAAGAATCCAAAGACCCTGCTGATGAGACTGAGGCTGACTAATTTGTTCTGAAAACTGACTTTCTCCCCGTCCCCTTCCTAAATATCCAAAGACTGTACTGGCCAGTGTCATTTTATTTTTTCCCTCCTGAAAAATATTCTAGAAGCTGATGTAGGACTGTATAGGTAGATCCGGACCAGAAGATGTTCTAGGGGCTAAAGGGGAGAAACTGCAAGTGTTTTACTCTTTTCTAAAGTGTCGGTCTTTCTAACGTAGCTATTTTTCTTGTTGCATCTTTTCTACTTCGGTACACTTGGTGTGCTGGGTTAATGGCTAGTACTGTATTGGCTCTGTGAAAACGTTCGTGAAGAGTGTGTAGTGGCTTCTTCCAAACTGTTAGATGCTGAATATCTGTTCACTTTTCAATCCCGATTCTGTCCCAATCTTACCAGATGCTACTGTACTTGAATGGTTAATAAACTGCACAGTGCTGTTGGTGGCATGACTTCTTTCTGTTCAGGTAGTGGTGAGCTCTGGAGACTCTAGGCTTCTAGGCTGATGCAAACACCCAGCCAGCCCTCTGCTCCCGAGTCCTTTGCATTGTCTCCTTCCACAATCATCACTTTGTGCTGATGCCTTGGCCCAGATCAGCTGTTATTTTCTTTCAAATGTTTATTTGACAACAAGCAGTTTTTTGTTCCCATGGCCCTGTTAAAAAAAGGCAGATTAGAGGCACAAATAGTGTTTTCCAGAGAGCAGTTTTAGAGGCAATCTTGAGATCTTAGAATATTTGCTGGTTTGTTGATGTTACATTTGGGAGTGGGGGTGCATCCTAATTCCATCCTTGCATGTAAGTGATGTCAGAATACTAATAAAACTTGTGCTGTGAAGCCATGCTGTGAAGGGAAAGGCACTTTAATTTTTGAGCTGACTTTGGTGGTTGGGGTTGGCAGACACATCATCTTGCATCCAGAAGCCATAATAATCACCACTGTTAATAATCACCCCTGTTAACACACACTACCCTCAATTCAGGGAAAGCTCCTGGCAGCTTCCTTAGGCCCTTTGGGAAATAGCCTTATAGACTTTTGCCCCTCAGACATCTGCAGCAAGCTTTAAAACCTCAGTAGAAGGAGCTCTATAGCAGGAGCAGGAGAGCTGCTCAGATGGCCTGGGGGGGCCAGGTTTGATGGCTTGTGCCTCTACTCTTAACACTTAGGAAGCTGAGAGGATACTGGGGAGTTCAGGCCAGCCTGGGCTATAGAGTGAGACTTGCCCCCCTCCCCAAAGAAAGTGAGGCCACACGTGATTAACGTGTTTTCTGAAGCTTGACTTGGGTTTGATTTGGGTTTCACTAAACTTGTGAGAGTCATATCTAATGTGTTAAAATTCAGTAAGAGTGGGGTTTGTGTGTGCAGGGAACACGTTTAGAGATTCAATATGTATATACGTGCAATATAATTAACGATTGCCATTTTCAACGCTCTAGTTAATGGCAATGAGTGATTATATAGTCTTGAGTGGGGAGCAGTTAAGCAGCATTCATGTGCCTTGAGTTAACTTTCAAATTGAGGCATAAACTGAGAAAAACAGTTGTGGCCACATCAGGCAACTATAAACGAGATCAAGTGTAGCTTAGTACAGTAAGGTTCTGAGCAGTCTTTGGAGGTGCGGAGGCTGTGAGCAGGGAATCAACACTGCTCATTGGATCCTGTGTCTGGCATGTGAGGAATGCTTCAGGTTAGCGTGGGTGAAAAGGTACCTTCTAGACCTCTTAAGACTCCAGTACGGAGCAGTTGGGGATTCTGGATGCCAGCCTGAAGGTAAGAATTCGCAGTAGTCACATTACCGGCCTACAGATGGCAGCAAGCTTCTGTTTGTAAAACAGAAGGGAACAGCCCAGAGAAGGCAAAGGGCCTGAAAGGAGGGTGCCCCAGTTAACAGCCAAGCCCAGGGTCCCACCCGACGGTGATGTAATGAAGCTTTGGAGGATGCGGCCTTCATATAACCAGGAGCCCTGGCCTGTTTCATTTCTGAAGTGCTTACTTCTAGGTCTCTCTTCTAATGGATTAGATGAAGAGGTTGGGCTGCCTCTGTCCGGTAACCATAAGATGTTTTGTATTTGGCTTGGAAGGAGAGTATCGGGATTCCAGAGCTTCTGGGCAGTGGTCTTTTCCTTGTTTCCTTTGTCGCCATGCTAGGAGTCAAATCCAGGGTGCCATGCATGCTAGACACAGTATACCACCTTGAGCTGTACCCCACCCCTTCTCATAGTTGATGTGTGATGCTTTGACTGGAGCCTGTCACCACAGAGCATGCCTTTCCTCTTGGGTGGAAAATGAGGCTTGTCTCTTGAGAAATTTATATTGACTCCTCTGGAAGAGGTCCAAGCCAGGTAGTGTGGGCATGACCACATGCCCAACACTTGGGTGACAGAGGCAGGAGAATGGCAAATTTCAAAGTCAGCCTGGGCTGCATAGCAAGATCCTGTCTCAAAAACTAGGCATGGTGGTTCATACCTAAAATCCCAGCATTTGGGGAGACTGAGATAGGATTGCCATGAGGTCAAGGCTAGCCTGGATTACAGTTGAAGTCCTGTCTATAAATAAATGTCTCCCCCAAAGGGTTTTCAGCTATGAAATAAATCAGCATGTAACAAGCATTCAGAATACGCTCTGCCTTGAGCTATACACTATTCCAGACATAAGATTTGGGTCCCAGCTCATCCCATGTTCACACTTGAAGGGAAAGAAAGTTGTAGACAATTTATCTGAAAATGGTCAGGACCATATACTTAACCACATGTGTTCCCAGTGGCTTGGCCAAAGTAACCACAGAGGGGTGGGAGGTGGCCTGGGAAAAGAGAAGTAAAGGGCTTGAGCTAATCCTTTGAGATGTTAGATGGACTTGAGTTGGCCACGTCAAAGCACTATTTAAGCATGCATCTTGGGCTGGGAAGAGACACTGCCACAGTAACCTGGACTCAGTGGAGGTCCCTATGGAGGCTTTTGAATGTGGGTTTTAAGAGAAAATAGAGGGCAATGAATGGACAGCTGCCAGATTGAGGCCACCATGGGCGACTTCTGGAGCCATGTGCGTGAAGCCCGGAGGGTGAGGCTGGCGGGTTCTAGAGGACATGCCATTGACACTGCAGAGCTAGGTTTACTGCAGAACCTGGGAACACCATGGCTGGCTGTATAAGGTAGAGCCAGCAACCCCAGTAGACAGCCTGAAGCAGGTCAGGTCATTTGTCCCACCCCTAAGGGAGTCTAACCCAGGCCCTGGACTGGAAAGAGGGCAGCAGGAAAAGGGTCTGGCAGCTCAGTGTCCCTCAGCCCTGGATAACCTCACTGCCTCACACCTGTATCCCAGACTACCAGCAGAAAGCCCTAAATGCAACCACTGCCACCACTTTAAAACACCAGCATATTGGGTTAACCTTGGCATGCTATGGAACAAGGTTCTGTTGCATCCCTAGCACTTCAAGAAGCAGTCTCCCCTCTGCATATTTTTCCAGTGAAGAGTCCTGATTTCCAGTGATGGTTTACCTTTCCAGGTAAATCTGTATTACCAGAGTCTGGTTACCTTAACTGCCAGTTCAGGTGTTTTAGTCAGTGTTAAATGTGATTGAACAGGGACAAGATGAAGGCCAGGTCCCAGGAGCTTCCTGGGAATGGAGAGATGGCTCAGCGGTTAGGAGCGCTGACTGATCTTGCAGAGGACCGGGATTCAATTCCCAGTACCCACATGGCAGCTAACAACTATCCATAAGTCCAGTTCCAGGGGATCCAATGCCCTCTTCTGACCTCTGAGGGCATTGCATGGCACGTGTACACCTACCTACATGCAAGCAATACACTCATGCACATAAAATAAAAATAAATTTTTAAAAAGAGCTTCCCCTTTGGGTAGAGGCCAAGATGGTGGGTCTCTGCCTAGTTAAGTTGCTGATGTCTTATGATCAAGCTACTTGATGTCCTGTGATCAGGAGCCTTATCAGATGCTGAGGATTCCCCTACTGAGTTGAACCCAAGACCCCAGAAACTACTGGTGGGGTGAGCCTGCCAACACCTGCTTCTGTCCACATGATGGGGGAAAGTCCCAAGCGTCTGTGTGACTCAGCTCATTGTCAATGGAAGCTGGAGTTCTCGAGCACGGGAGAGCGGGGAATGCCTGCTCGGTTAACTGCCTAGCAGTTATGAAGCCAGCACTTCAATCCCCAGCACTGTACAAACCAGGTGTGGTGGCACATGCTCTTGAAGTCCCAGCACTCAGGAGGAGAGGAAAAGAGGATTTGAAGTGCAGGGCCATCCTTGGTTACATAATGAGTTTGAGGCCGTCCTAAGCTACCAAGGCACTCCATCTCTAAAATAAAATAAGGGAATTTGGGGCTGAAGAGATGGCTCAGCGGTTAAAAGCCCTGGCTCCTCTTGCAGAAGACCCAGGTTTGATTCCTAGCACCACATGGCAGCTACCAACCATTTGTAACTCCAGTTCCAGGGTAACCGACACCCTCTTCTGACCTCTTCTGTTATTGCATGTCACAGGTGCACTTAAACACATGCAGGCAGTACATTCATACACATAAAATTAAAATAAATAATAAATAAGGGAATTTGGTTTCCCAGGCATCTAGATCTCTCAACTTAGTTGTAGGGTTCGATATGCTCTGGAAGGTAGCACCTTCAGTGGAAGGGCCCTGTCCATCTCAGGGCAGACCTTCTCCCAGCATGGCCAGAGACAATCCCATCCATGTCCTTGGCCTCCAAGCCCTAAAGAGCCAAATGGACTTGCTGAAGATGGATCCAAAGGAAGAAGGAACAGAAGAGCCAGGTGCCCTGTGACCATCAGCTCGGCTGGTGATAAGTGAGAGGGCCACCAACCTTGGGTGCAGGATTTCTGCTTCTTACAACTCTATACTTTGTAGCTAATCATTGTTTACATTAGTTCATTGAATCCCCAAAGTAACCTTCCAGGGTTGAGAAATGAGGTGACTGAGACTCAGGCTAGGCTGGCTGTTTGACATAACCAGCAGGTGATAGAATCAAATCAAACCCAGACTCAGCCTCTGTAATATCCTGCAAGTCCCCTAGTGTCTCAAGTGTAGTGCATTAATTATTGTGCAATTATCTGTTTGAAGTGCGTCTTTCCTGCTGGAACACGAGAGCAGGGACTGTCCTAAAACACATACCACTGGGTCTTCAGTTCCAAACCTGGCTAATGATGAGAGGTTAATAAAAAAATTAAAATGCTGAAGGACCAGTGAGATGGCTCAGCAAGTAGAAGGGCTTGCAGCCAAGCCCAACAACCTGAATTCAATTCCCAAAATCCACTGGTGTGTTCTTCCTCAAACACATACACATACACACACAATGTTTTAAAAAGTGTTTAATTAAATAATTGAATGGGTGATGACTCCTGTAGTCAGCCTTGGGGAATCTACTTTGTCCTGTGGACCTTGTGAGGAGTCCGTTTTCTAGAAGCAATGGATGGCTCTGTCAGTTCTGCCAACTGACCTCAGAGGTGCTCAACTCTTAATGGAATCTTCCTACACCCAAAGGCACGAGCTGATGAGCTGATGGCCCACAGCCAGCTTCGGTCTACAGGCATGTTGTTGGCCCATGCTGTGTTTTAAATTATTGAATTAGTTGACATTTCCACAGCAGAATCTGATTTTAGTCTTCTCTTGAAAGACTGTTAGATTTGGCTTCAGTCCTACCCAAGCATAATCAGTGGACTCCTGGTGGCTGCTGCCCCCTGGATGCAAGACTTGGATTCTGCAGCTCCCAGTTCCTGGCTCACCTACCTTTTACAAACCCTGCTCTGTGGGAGAAGACCTGCGGTTTACAAAGCCAGTTCCCCAAAGTTTGGGGGATTTTGTTTTGTTGGTCTGGTT